CAGTGACAGTTCAACTTCAATTGTACAATATATTATAGTATTATAATGGAGTAGTATAATAGCATTTAATTAACTTCAATCAAAACAGTTGTACAACCACTTAAAAACAAGACTGCCTTAATACGGATTAATCACAAATAGTATCTAGACTAAAAAGGAGATTTAAAACTATTGTGTGGTTATACAATTACAAAACATGTATGTTACATCCTATTCAAATATAAATGTACTGTTGCCCTGGGAACAAAATGCATGCAACTCTCAGCCCTTTCACCCCTCGGTCCCCTCTAAAGCATTATCTCATTAATTCTGTATCTAGCCTGAGCCCTGAGAGCACACAGTGAGTCAAAATAAAGTCAGACTAATTGAAAGTCCAGAATCACAAGACCAAAGTCAGGACTCTTCCTCTGTTGCATGTGACTGCTTCAACGGACATGTAGTTTACTTTAGTTTATTACTTCCACAGCGGCACACACTTGGTTACTGTATGAAACAAAACAAGCTCACAAACTATGAAAAACATCTATGAGGAATGGAAGGGTTATGTTGTAAAGAGGCTGGAAATAGGCAGTTATATGTGAAACTCTTAAATCTGAACTTTCACCTTGTGCTGCTTGAGCCATAGGTTTTGAGACGCTACAATAACACAGCTGTCGTGAGTTTAAGATGTTTAAGTAACATAGCACCGTTCAGATGATCTTGAATCATTTCACAATCTAGGTCAATGTAACTGCAGAATACATTTACGATACTTAAGGGAAAGATTAGGACTGCAAAATTACTCACAATAAAATTTTAATCGAAGCTATTAGCAAATCACAAAGGCTGCAGTTTTGAAGTACTATGATTTCTTCCACAAATAACAAAATAGCCCGTCTTCTTCTGCATAAAATGTGTTTAAATTAATTGTGAAGTGTCCCCAATGTGTTTAAAATGTGAACTTTGAACAGAATCCTATTATTAAAACATAAATCACGAAACAAATCGCAATGCTTGTTAGAAAAATCACAATTAAATATTTCCTCCAAAATGTTTAGCCTTAAAAAAATTACAGAAGAAGCTTGTAGTCTTAATAATGAGACAGCATGCTGATGTCAAATGTCCCCAAAACAAAGGTGTGGTCTACAACAACAGTCTGAAGTGAAGCCCTTGAGCATTACACAGGGGCCTTGCATAGTTTCACCGTACCAGGAAATGATCTGAAATCCTCTGAAAAAAGTCAAATCTTCGGCTGTCCCACAAACTCTCTCACCATTTCCCTTCCTCTCGCTCAAATAACCAGCTGTCTTGGCTCATATAGTGTGCAGCTGCCCAAATGACCGGTCCCCAGACATGCTCCGAACAGGCCGCGGAGGCTCTAGACATCTGGCTGCGGGTCACTAACTGATGGCTCTGTCTGAAGAAAGGAGTGAGCAAACTCTTTATTCAAATCTCAATATCTTTAATTTGATGTATGCCTGTCATAATTACTGTATCAATTTCAGTAAATGAGAGATGGGATAATTATTTGTGGAACTCATTTATCATGGGTACTTTTTATATGTACTAGATCCAAGCTGTAGAAGGTTGAATCAATAACTTTTATGACTCATAAATACAGACTTCAAGTGTTTTATTTTGCTATTAATCTCTGACAACTTATGTTTTTCATCATATTGTACATTCAAAGTATTTTTTTTCTGGGGATAATAGTGCTTTATGGAGTTATTTACCATTTGCACTAAACCTACATAAGAAACTGACTTTTATTAGTGCTGCTAATACTCAATCTGACCTGAACTGCACTGTACTTTACACTAGACTTTTTAGCTTTAATTTATTTATCTATGGTCACTGTCATGGTTAGAGATGATGTTATTTGTTGTGTCTGCGTGTGTAAATGTTTGTCCTGTCTTGTCTACACATGGGATAGAGAGAAATGTAATTTAGATTTCTTTGTATCCCTGGTACATTGTTTCTTAAAGACTGGAGAGCGACACTCAGGTGGATCGCAAGAGATTTTTTTTGGGTCGCCTTGTCACGATCTGCATGTACGTCTGCAATATACAGCTGTATAGACGGATCTGTGACCTTATCGTCATTCTAGATAAAAATTTTGTCAGAATATCCTGTCCTCAGTAGGGCCAGTATTTCTGTGTTTATTCCTTTCACTACTACATACTGTATATGTGTGAATAGGAGTTTTCTGTGCTCACAAAAATGCACACAGGCGCACTTATCTTATTAGAAATGTTGAAATGTTAAGACATGTTTTGTATAATATTTTATGGACTTTTTTGTTCCAGTATTGCTGGTTCAATTGAATGTTGAAAAGAAAAAGAAATGGGCCACATTTAATGTCCAAATAGGTGGTTTAACTTTATGGATCCTTTTATTGCTGGTCCAATTACTGTTTTTCATTGTTTAAAACTTGAGGAATACTAATTGTTCAGAGAGACACGATCAACAATAAAACATCCTCATTCATGTTCAATAATGGTCAAATCCACTTTTATTTTGTGATTTATGAATAATGTCTATTGACTTGAGTCACGACGGATTGTGACTTTTAAAATATGGGTCCCCAGAAAAAAAGTTTGGGAAACATTGGTCTAGTACATGTGAAGAAATTTAAAGCTAACTTTGAACTTTATTTTGTCAGTGGCATAAATTTGTTTCATTTCTTTTATTGTCTATATTTTCTTCACACTTCAATGTCGTTATTGTGAGAGGCCTAAGTGTATATGAACAAATCCTGCTTCTGTTGTTAATAGCATTCAACACTGCGCTAACAAGCCCATGGAGTGAAACCCGCCTTCCCTCGGTTCTTGTGGCCTTCTTTAAAGCGGGAACACTGAATGCAGCATGCTAACAGTTTCCATCACCATCAGTTAGCCATGAAGCGGTTAGCATTAGCGGTAAGAATGGAGGGTCTGAGCGGCGAAGGCAGATTTTTCCGATGCTGTGTGGCTCCCTGCAGGAATGTGCTCTTTCAGTCGCCATGGAGAGGAGACAGGGATTCTTACTGTTGCAGGACAAAGCTTAGCGCTCAATGGATGGGTTTACAGGCCCCTCATTGTAGAAGGATTAAATAAATCAAGGGCAGTTCAAACCTAGCACTAGCTCCCCTGCAGTGGTCTTTGAGCGGGCCCCAAACAGACACAAACACAAACCCAAGTCACCCCCAAAATCATTAGCATACACCTTAAGGAGGGGGCTGAACAGATGTGCGGTACACTTGGCAAATCTAGAGTATTATTTTTCCTCTCAATAGAAAACAAATACAGCGATTTAAAAGGTGAACTATGTAACCTTTCAGGAGGATCTGCCACCTGTTTGTCTCCATGGAGCTGTTATTGCATATATTGTATCAACATATCAAACTTATTTATCCTGCTTTAAACAATTATTGGCGTTTTTATTTATCAAAAATATCTTGAAACACTTGCAGTAACCAGTAACTTGGCCTTGTGGTGTCACTTGCTTGTCTCCTTGCTTTAAAGCTATACTGTGGGACATTACAGAAAAAGCAATAACTTTTTTGTTGTTTCACTTTTGTTTCGTAAGAGGAATAACCCCTTGAGAAGTTAAATTTTTATGCAGACACTACATCAGAAAAGTTACGCAGTGCTTACTTAATGTTTGCTATATTTGTTCTAGTGCTTCTTTTACTTTTCTCTTCATTCACGGTTTATTGTCAGAGTTTCGAGATGACCTTAATGTTCCAACACACTTGAGGGACCAAATCTTGGGACTGGCAATATTACATTATACACATACTTAGGCAATTCACAATGGGTAACAAATACACACAATTACAAACTAGAACACATTAATTACATGTTAAAAGTTTTAGTGGTATTAGAGAAAGATGTTACTTAAAGGGCCCATGTTAAGCTGTTTTCTGATCTATGTTATAATGTTTCCTCATCATAAACATACTCAGAGTTGTGTTTTGTTTCATTCACACATGTTTAACACACAAATCCTGCATAATTTAGACTGAGTTCTTCTCACAAACATAAAAGACTTGTGATGTTATAATACAGGAAGAGATCAACTATGTTTTTAAACCTTCACTTGAATCATTTGGATGATTTTAGCCCTGAAACTGCCAAACTCTACTCAAAAAAAAAAAAAGGTAAAAGGTGGCTGTTCATTTGAAAACTACTTCTTCATGACAAGGTTGATTAGAGCATTTTGAGCTTTGGAGATGATGACAGCCTAATAATGCAGGATTACTCAAACATGCGCAAATGAAAGAAAACACAACTCTGGATATGTTTTCGATGAAGTAATGACATTATAACATGGCTTAAAGATCACAAAAGTCAACTTTAAGGACCTTTAAATAAATATGTATTTCTATGCAAGTATTTATAGGTTTACAAACTACAAATGTTAGGCCTCAAACACTGGATGCATCACCTCACCATCATGAACTGTCACAGAACATTTCCCTTTTCAGTTTCCTTTGCGTGAGATGCTAAACTCCACAGAGAAATGATTTGTGAATCAGTTCACAATATAACAATGGGTACTTTTACATGGCCAGTAAAAATCAGATAACGAGAATAACCAGACAATCCAATAATTAGATCTGATTATTGCTGTGTGTTCACATACACAAAAGAAACCTGATCATCAAAAACATCTGGAGGCGTGTTCCAGTTTATCAATGCATTTTTAGAGTAACTGTAACTCAATTTAATTTTTTTTTTCTCATCTTTGCCACATGAGTTTGTGTCTCCTGCACAGGTGTGAACAATCCGAAACAAATGCGATAGCTCACATCAGATGTTAGTGTTTACGTGACATTAACATAATCTGATAACTCCACTAATCAGATAACAATCACATTTTTGGTGTGCACGTGACAGAGCTCATTGTTGCCTGCTGCTCGTCAGATCTCACACTGAGGTGGAGCCGTGGTGCATCCAGTGTGTAGGAGGCCTCAGACACAGAGTGGAGTTAGGTTTTGGTTAGGGGCAAATGAAACCACAATGTTTATTTTGCTCTACCTGAACTTATGCTGTAGTGGTTTAGCGGGTCGGCCACCCATGTACTGTCCTGTGTAACACTCTCCATCTCCAAGTCTGTGCACAGCGCCATGGACAACAGACACGAATGGAGCGATGGATGAGGATGGATGAAGACATAGAAAATCAAGAGAAAAAACAGTTGACGTTACAAACTAAAAATGTAACAGTGATTCAAATGTTAAAAACACAGTTTTGTTTAGGTCAAATTTGTTTTAAGGTTTAAAGGCGTTGTACCTGATTTTTACTATGTTAAAAATTTAGAAAAAACAAAACTGGAATTTCACCCTTGTGGGATAAATAAAACGTTCTCTTATTTTACGTATCCCTCACTTTCCCATAATTAGCGTCTTAATTTATTGCAGGGATGAGTTACGAGCATGGTAAGTTAAATGCAGACAGCACACAGCGGTTTCAAGAGATGGTTTTACAATATCTGTACTGGGCCTAGACAAACTTCGCTTAACTACACTACTGGTGAAAAGTTTTAGAACACCACACTTTCTCCAGTTTTTTACTGTTTACTGTTGACCAAAACATATTCTAAACTTTTGATTCAAGAAAGTGTCCACCTTTGGCAGATATAACAGCTAAACACACTTGTGGCTTGCCTTTTTACAACAAAAATCAAATATTCTTCAGAAAGTTCTTCCCAAGTCTATTGCAGAAGTTCCTATAAATGTGTGGCAATTGTAGGTTGTTTCACTCTTCTGTCCTGTTCATCCCAAAAACCAGCTCGATGGGGTTTAAGTCTGGAGACTGTGCTGGACACTCCATGTTTTCAAGCTTTACCATCTTGTTCTTTTTTTCTGAGGTAGTTTTGGCAGAGCTTGGACTTTTATCTTTTTTTTTTTTTAAACTTCTGGCTGTTTAGTACTTATCTTTGTACTATTTCAAGCTGTTTATTGGATGTTGGATGTTGCAATAAATAACTGGAAAAATTAGGGTGTTCTAAAACTTTTGACCGGTAGTGTACATGGACAAAAATCAGGTACAGCAACTTTAATAGAGTAAGTCAAAGACTGAAGCATTATAGCACAGTGTATATGTGTTAGTGGGCGGGTGAATGATGTGTGTATACCAACACGCACACGGAGGGAAGAGACTCCAAGAAGCAGGCTGCAGGCCAGAGCAGGGGTTGGCTGAGGCAGAGGAGTCACAGTCAGATGCAACAATCAAAGACATGTGAAAACTGTGTGCGAGTTAAACATGCACAGAGCCACTGGACACTAGCACATATTATTCATCAGTGCGCCTTTACAAACAATAAACCTTTAGTGATGTTAGTCATAAAGGCAACAAAGCAATGTTAATTTCATCACTATCATCTTTTTGCTGACTAAAAACAAAAGAAAAAATAATTGTAATGAATGATAAAAACTCTGAGTACAAGGTAATATTTTATCCAGTGAACATATTAGTACCAAATGAACCTTGAATAAATGAAAGGAACAAGTGGAGACCAGATCCAAGTTCCATTTTTCAATTCCAATTTCCAGAGCCCCAAACCAGACCATAAAAATGTCCAAGTAACACGTCTGTAATGGAATTTATCATAACTAAAATGCAAAAATATATTATTTAGTTAACTAAAACTATTATGGAGTTGATCGACTAAATTAGCATGGCATTTTCATCAACTAAAACTAGACTCGTTAAAACATGTTCTATTTTCAATGGTTAAAATTAACACTGCAACAGGGAATCTGAAGATTTACAACAAATTCGAATTAAACCATGTTTAGTCTAGTGCGAAAAGATGAAACTCTACCTGCTTTCTTTCTGTGTAATTGTATAACATGCAAAACAGTGGCAAACCCAAGCACTTTGAAAGCAAAATGGACAGGCAGGGCAGGATGACACAGGGCTTTGGTCAGGAGAGTGCTTTACTGAATTACGTGCTGTGAGCTACACAAAGGGAACCCAGCATCCTACAGACTGTTATTAATCTGGTCTTAAGTTTTAGTAATTTTCTTCACTACAAAACACATTTCAGTGCCTGAAAGTGAGTGGTATAAAGTGAGTCATATTGGATGAATCATGTTTTGGATGTGAAGGAAAATGACGTGGTCTGATTGATCTACAGTCTGGGGTTATTTCTGCACACGTGGTATTTCATCTGGATTGCACTATGCCGTTCAGTGTCAGTTCAAAGTTCAAACACACCTCATCTTTAGCTCATAGCCATAAAAGACGCACAAATATTTAACTATACGTGTCCCTAACACTCTGGGTCTGTGTCGTCTTTGAGTCATTTGCATAGTTAGCCAGTCAAGTATTAAACAGCACTTCAAAAGGAAAAGGATGACGATTACTTTTAAATACTAGGCTAGTTAAGTTTATGACATAACCTGTATGCAAATAACGAGAAATGAAGGGAAGATAGGAAAGAGAAATGCCAGTGCTACTTTCAATGTCTAAAATAAAAGCAGGAAAAGCAGAATTTCCAACTTCCATAAGTTATTTTGACCACTATTGCTACAACTAAGGTGACCACCTCAAATAGTTGATAAAGTTGAGCAGTGTGTTAAGACATGGTGGGATGGGCACAATGTTTTCTTATAAATACTATGAATAATAATATGATGTAATAAAAACGTATGATTTTTCAAAATCCTTTACAACACTGTTAGTTTGTAATATCAATAGATTACATCAGATTACAACCAGAAGGACTGGTTTTCTATGTAAATAACACAGTTTTACACCTTTCATGTGGCACTAGTGAAAAGGTGGGACATTACCTAAGGGTGCGCTCACACTTGTCCTTGTTGGGTCCAGTTGAGTCCAGCTTAGTCTTGCATTGGCTTAGTCCTGTCCTAGTCCTGGTTTAGTTCTGAATTTCATAGTCTAGTCCCAGTTTTGATATGTACAAGTGGGACAAGGGACAGGTGGTCACCACAGCTACAATTAGTAAAGATGATAAACCTCCATCTGTGATCCTGTCCTTAACACATTTCCTGATTCTGATCGAGGAGCAGTCGTACCTGGTTTTGGCACAGAGTTGGTCATAGACTGTGGCACTTTGTCATTTATGAGCTCCACACACTCACTGGGAAAGAAGCCAACCTGCGAGAAGAGAGGGAGGGACAGGCAAACAGGCAATAAGAATTCAACTTCACACCTCTTATATAGCCTAGATGTATAAAATATAGTAAATATAAAATATAACTTATACATATACACATCAGTTTAATTGTATACTCAAGGTAAGCATTTTTTGCGGCCTTGATTATTTAGATTTATATTTTTTAGATATCTTGATTACTTTTCGCAGTTTATTTTTTTGCTGTTATTATAGTTTGTACTTACATTATTAAGACTTTAATTAAGTTTTAAGGTGCAATATGTAACTTTTCTGGTGTAGGTTTTGTCACCTGTTGAAAACATTATAGGCAAGGCAATATCATCTCAATGGAGACAAAGTATGGTATTTATTTATGTATTTTGATGGAGACTAGCAGGTGAAACCTGTAGGCCAAGTTACAGGTCAGATCTGTGAAGAGGTGACCCTTCTTACAGTAATAATGTCTGTTTTTCGAGGTGTTTCTGAGTAACAAATGCAAGATAGACAGACGTTTAATGCCACACTTGGACACAAGCCAGAAAAGTTACGTAGAGCAGCTTTAAACATTGAAACTCTATTCACACTCCCTGTTGCTCCCCCATGTGAGGCCCACTATCCCAACAGTTAAACTTGATAGTACACTCATGACAGTAAACGCAGCCAGATGTTGCCCAGTCCACCCCTGCACACTACATACTACCCCCAACTGGCCAGTGGTGGTTCTGCAGTTTTAAAACAATAATATGTGCAGTGGTTAATATGATGAAAAGCTTATAGTGCATTTGTGTAATGTCTAAATAAAAGACTGCATAAAAGGGCATTTCTTGCTCGTGTGAAACAGTAGGGCACAGAGAGAGAGAGCTGTTAGTACCAGCACACTGCTCTGCGTGGGCAACAGGCCAAAACAAACACAGGGGCTGCTGCCTGTGAAACCTACTACAGAGGTCACATGGGGGTCACACCATTTCAGCGTATTGTCTGTGTTCAATAAAACCTGTATATGGGTCATTCCACATCAGTGCATTTTATGTCCCAAAGAAATTAATCATAACATTTCCATCAAAGCTAATTTTTAGAAGGTGAAAAGAGAATTTAGGCAGTTTTGTTTTATATCCAATAATTTAAAACCCCTTTAAATAATAGTCAAGCAATTAAAATATAATTTGTTTTTGAGCTTGTCCCTAAACAGTGGCTTTGAACTACCTAACATGGATAAGTAATTTTTGTTGACTACCGATTTTGAAAGTCAATCCTATTAAAAAATTAAACAGGGAAGTTAGAGGTGGTTAGAAAAAAGAATTTTAATATGCAAATTAAATATGCAAAATTAAATTTTTCATAGCTGAAAAGGCATCAGTTTTGTGGAATGACCTACATACTTGTCTGTATAGTGACGTAAGGATCCCATTCCACTTTATTGGCTAAAGGGAGAATATCTAGGCAGGCACTATATTATGAAAGTTAAGTTATAATGTATGTTTATTATATTTTCAACACGGGTTTAACTGATTAAAAATACTTGATTTTTGTTTTACTGTAACTCTTCTGCTGGTCGACTGCACATCTGTACCAAAAATATTTTAAAAGCAATTCTGATTCTGATAAAATCCCCACTGGAATCCTCAAAGAGGGAACTGCTGCTGCTACAAAGTTCAGCCCTTTAAGTGTGAGACAGTAAAACTACTTTCCACAGTAGGTGAAGGCATTCATGTTTGATGTGCTCAAAAACACTGTGACTCAGAAAGAGAGAAGATTTGTTTTAGAGTTTATCTTTGTCATTGAAGTTTTCTAAAGCGCACACCTGAAATCCATGTTTGCCCCTCCACCATGTGGTGTCTTCCTTCGGAGGCATGTCAATCACAGACACGATGTCGCCCACCTGCAGAGCCACACGGGGGAGAAAGATGAGTTAACAGAGCCACAGTTTCTATTGGGAGCACTGATTGCAGAAACTGGGGCACTTTCTAGTAAGGGTTGGCAGCCCCAGTGATTTGCATAGAGTTCTAGTGTAAAAAAATCCCTATTCAGCTGCTGAGCTGTTCACAGTCGACATTTGTATCGGAAAAACAGATCTCAGCGTTTCCGCTCATCACTTATCACTGCCTGAGTCTCCTGAATCCTTTACATTCTTTTGTATTTAGCACAAGAGAAAAGTAGGAATAGAGAGTGTGATGTAATCTTTCTGACCTCAAAGGACAGTTCATCAGAGGCCTGGGCGATGTATCGTTTAATGACATGAGCAGCAGCTATAGCTGGAACATTGATGGATGACTCTTCATGGACCAATAGATGGTTCCCTTTATTGTCGACCTGGGAAATAGACCAATAAACATATTTCACCCTCTGGTTTTCATCATCTTTTATTCTGACATAAATATGCAAAAGAGAATAATAAAGTGCTCATATAGTGAAATAGAGGACTATTCCCAATCCCGCCTCACCTCCATCCATGTGAGCGCTGGCCCACAGTTGATTTTGTTGTCAGCGATGGCTGAGAGCCGCGAGAGGTACGCCAACAACATCTGGGAAACTGACTAAAGAGAAGACAGCACATAGGGTCTTTACATTAGCCAAGAGCCATATGAGCCATACAGTACAGAGTGTATGCAGTCCTCCTGTGGTCATGTTGACAGACTATTTTAAACTGTCAATAAGCAGAGAAATGGTGATTCCAGGCATATTTGAGATCAGATTACTTTTCAGCCACAGCAGTTGGTGAAGCTTTTATTCCCCAACACAATAGTCCCAAGAGACAAACAGGTTTCACCAGTTCACTTTATACCTCGACATTCTTTTAGTCTCATTTGGACATAAAGGTTTGGGCCACTCCAGTTTTCATTTCACACACTCAACAACAATATCAGGTTTGCATTCTACAAACATCCCTTTGACAGACCTAGTGCAACCTGAACTGAGGTCATCAGGGGTGAAAAATGTGTAGCATTGTTTTGTACTCATTATAATATTACTACAATATGAACTTGATGACTGTGATGGTATCATCCTCTCAAAAAGGGGAAGGTAAGAGACAGTTTCCTCAGTTAATAACATGGTATTCTCATGAGAAATATCTAAAATTCAAACATGTTGAAATTGACCATTTCTATTCTGGACACTTGAGCTCACTGTATTACAAAAAAACTCAGCATTTTATTTTAACTGCCCCCATCTGTATTACATATTATTAGCATTTAGTATTTTGATGTTGGGCTGTTCTTGGTCAACTAAAGACATGTCCTGCCGATCGATTAGAAGAGTAAAATGTTTAGAAAAGTGCTACATAAATAAAATGATTTATTATTGATAGAAAGGGGCATGTTAAAACTATTACACATCTTTACACTCACAAAATGCACTCAGAAAGCTACAACTGCATGGGACGTCATGCAAAAACAATGATTTAAACTGAAAAGTTAATAGGAAACAAAGTATTCATAAGCAGATTCACTTACAAATCTTCAAGTAACTCGATCCATAGCTTCTTCTTTCTAATGTCCCACATAAATTCTTATAGTCTAAACACAATAACTAGTTGACTAATACAAATAATCAAATAAACGACTAAACTACTACAGTCCTCTTGTGTTGTGAAGCAATGACAGATTCAGAGCTTACTTCTGATTGGTCGGTCAGACTGTCCACTCGGGGTAACTCAGGCAGCTGGGAGAAGCGGCGGTCGTAGATACAGAGGTGCAGATGTTTATCCAGGACTCGGAAATCCTCATAGCTGCGCTTCACAATCCAGCTCCGACCCTACGAATATGACAAATACATAAATGAATGTAGCACTTTGCGATACTCCAACAATAATTCAAACAGAGCACCAGTGTAAAACTAGAGCAAATAAATGAGCACTTTAAATAACTCGCACAACAAATCTCTATGAGAACTGCTTTGCACTGTTGTAGGGCTGCAAAATGAATCACAATTGAGTTGAAATAGCAATTTGAATGGACGCAGTTAGCAAATGACAAAGGCTGCAACTTTGAAGGACCATAATTTCCTCTACAAAAACTAAATATTGTGTCATACTCTGCATAAAACTGGTATCCCTGTAGTTTAGTTTAATTCATACTTCCCTCTTTTTGTCAATTCTTCTGGACAGATTTAAATTGTTCTCTTTAAACCAAATCCTCTTATTAAAACATAATCTAATACTTATATACTATCTAATATTGCAATTAGATATTTTTCCCAAATCTTTCATTAAGTCTTAAACTGTTCTTGCTCATATTGTAGAAATTATATATACTACACTGTTTTTTCTTCTATTTATAATGTTTCTTCACAAAAAACATACCTGGAGTTGTGTTTCATTCACACATTAACACACAAATCCTGCATATTTAGTCTGAGTTTTTCTCTCAAACGGTAAGCACTGTGTTCCACCTTGTGATGTCATGTGGTAATACAGTAAGTGCTGCACTGTGTTTTTAAACTCAGTAGAATCATTTAGATAATTTCAGCCCTGCAACTGCCAGTCTCTACTTAACAAATGGCAAAAGATGGAGAGATGTACACAGAATAATAATAAAAGATTACGGAAATGTGTGAATGAAACAAAACATAACCCCAGATATGTTTGAGGGGGTAACAACATTCTAACATGACTTAAAACACACAAGAGTCAGTTCTGTGAAATGTAGGCCCTTTAAATTCATCCAGCCATCCATCTATTTTCTTTCAATTATCTGACCTTTAAATTTATCCATTCTATTTCTATCAAACACCTTACTGAGCGCATATACATGCACATCAGTATCCTGGTTATTAGCCATATCCCGGTAATAGTAGTATTCGGGATACTGTGTATACATGCCACAGTATCCCGGTTACCATCAGAATATACCAGCTAGAGTATCCCAGTTTCTCATAACCAGGATACTGCTTTATTCAGGATACTGAAACTGGAATACTGCGTATACCCGATCGGGATACTGATGTGCATGTATATGCACTCATTATTTGCATGCCTTTATTTTATGTTATCATTCTTTATGTTCACTATTACTATTCCTTGTTTTATGTTGTACCATATCACCAAAGCAAGTACCTAGTTTGTAAATTGTGTTCACTGGCAATGACAATAAAACTTCTGGCCTTGTCCCAGGCTTTAGATGTGCTATGGCCTTCAAATTTTTATAGACACATTCATTATATATTTGGTGCACCTCAGTGAATACAGTGTCACCTTCAAACTATTGCAGAAGCCTATTTCTGATTATGTGTACATCATTCTACTGTGAACCCACATGTTTTCAGTGTTTATACAAGACACGTCCCACTTTTACAGGATGTTTATTATGGCATAAATTCAAACAATGGGCAAATAAAAGAATGCGGTCTCTCTGTGAAGTTAGAGTTGTGCTGAATGATTTGGGGAAAAATATCCAATAGTGATTTTTTATTTTTTTTTACAAGCATTGCCACAAGACTTGTGATTTCTTTTGATACTAGAGTGCTGTTCAAGTTCACATTTTAAATCAAGAAGAACTGACAAAAAGACAAACCAAAAATTCAACACGTTTTGGAGAGATCAAACTACAGGGTTAGCAATTTTTTGTTTGTGGAAGTGAATTGATTTGCCAATGCAGTTATTCCTTCGTTGTGAAGTTGGAGTTGACGTTCATTCATTGCAGTAATTACTATTTTAAGTTTACTTTGCAGCAACTGCTAATAAAAAGTGATATATAAATAAAGGGGAATGGACTGGAGTATTTCAAATAGTACTTCAGTGTATTATCAGAGACACCGCTGGGAGAACTGTGTAGACATGGGGAACTCTCTGCCTCCCTGCCCCACTTTAAAATCATGTCTCTAGTTGTGGTCCCTCTGAGCCAGTGGAAATGATTCAATCTTTCTGTGCTACTTTCTGTGTTTAATAGTCAAAAATCTCTCCCCTTAAAAGACAATTTTTTGGACCGGTTAAACAAGAAAGGGTTTGAATTTAGCAATTTTCCAGTGGTTACGAGACAGAGGTGCTGCCAAGTGCGGAGAGGGAGAGAACTCAGGCGTTGCCAAGGTCACTCAAAGGAAACAGGATCTTTGCAGAGGAATGCATGAAACCCCATCAAAAATGCCACTGGAGGAGATTAGGCTTCACCAGCTGAGGAGCATGTACAGGCTGGCTACGGAAAATCTGACAAATCTACAACATGTAAACATAATATCTAATTACGTTTTCTTTTTGGATAAACATTTGCGATTTATGTTTTAATAATAGGATTCTGTATAAAGTTCATATTTTAAACATGTCCAGAAGAATTGATGAAAGGCTGAAATATGAACTGACAAACTAATACAAAAATCACATTTCAGAGAATGTTTGTACAGATCTAAATTACAGATTTAGCAGCTTTTATGCAGAATATGACAAGATGTTTTGTAGTTTATTAAGGAAATTATGGTCATTTAAATATTTGATAATTGCCTCCAGTCAAATCGCGATTTCGATTCAGTCACAATTAATCTTGCAGTACTAGTAAACATATTGTACAGTTGAGGTATTTTAAAGGTACACTAAGTAACTTTTTTGGTGGAGGGTTCTGCCACCTGCTTGTCTCCATAGAATAGCATTTAAGAATAGCATTTAACTTATCTATCTAGCATTTATTCAATTACAGGTGTTTTATTGTTTATGAGAAATATGCATTATTTCAGTATTTCCATTTCACCTCTCCACAGATCTGACTTTAAATTGGCCTGATGGTGTCACCTGCTTCTCACAATAGTTTAAAACTGTACTGTGGAGCATTCCAGGCAAAGTAATAAAAGTTACACCTTTAAGATAGCCAAGAAAACTACATCATAAATGCAAACATCTATTTACTCTGAAATTACTTCATAATCCCAGAAACAAATAACTTACTGCCAGCGAAGCCTAATATCATAAATTGCTTTGTTCAGCTCAATATGTAGTTGGAAGCCTTCATTTTAAAGTCTTAACACACCAAACCCCTTTCATTTTCCATTCAGCACCACAGTCCTGGCAATCATCCATGACTCCATTTAATTCAGTCCCAAATTCCCACATAACTTGGATTTTTTGTAATAAGTAAGGGAGGCTGTGAGGTGTTAGAAAATGTCTGAAATTGAGCCTGCACTCAACACTGCATAACTAAACAGGTTACACAGAGCCAACCTTAGAGCAGTGGTTCCCAAATGTGGGGCATGAGGCACTAAGATGAAGAGCCACGAGATGATCTCAAGATATAACTTTGAAATTACAACACTGTATTTAATACATTCTCAACATTAATCAATAATCTATAAGATATTAAAATAAACAATACTAAAACACATTGAAATTATTATTGCTTTCAGTTTCATTCTGCAGTGGGGGTCGCAAGTGCATTACATGGTTATTTTGGAAGTCCTGAGCTAAAACACTTGGGAACCCCAACTTTAGAGTATAGGCTCAATACATTTTTGTGAAATTTTAATACAATGAGGTGAGGGGGAGGCTGGATGTAAGTTAGGATTAATTGCAATCATAAAACTCTGCATAAAAGTGCTAAAACAAGTTCTTAAATGTGATTCTAGTCTTAGTTTGTCAGTTCATATTTCAGTTGTTTTGTGAATTCTTCCTATTATTAAAACATAAATTCCAAATCTAATCGCAATGCTTGCCAGAAATATCACAATTAGATCTTCTTTCCCAAATCGTTCAGCCTTAGGTTAGACTTAGACAAACTTTATTGAGCCACATGGGAAATAAGAAAAAGACATTGAAGAACTGGCCTAACTTTACCTGGCAGTAAATATGAACTAGGTAGACCAGCTCCTTGGATTCATAGCCGTTGCGGGTCACTTCGCACTGTTCATCCCCGAGGGACAACTGTAAAACACAAACAATACAAAGGGTCAGATTCATAAAAGAAAAACATGTTTTAATTTCCGAGGACAAAAAAAGAACATTTAATTATAACACTTCCTCTTGCACGTGCGGGCTCATTTCCTTATTAAGGAAATACAATACCCCTTTCCTGTGTGTAGACTGCAGTGTGTCACGTGGAATATTTGGTTCATAGTCAAATGTCCTGGGGTGTCATTTATAAAACTTTACATGGAATTCTTATTAAAAGTCTATGTACGGACTAGTGTGTCATAATATTAAAATTTAGTTTCGATACTAAGGAATCCACTCCATACTTGATACCCATTATGACACCACAAAGATAAAAATATTCCTTTTTTAGTAATAGAATGTTACAGAATAATAGTACTTGCTTTATCTTGGCATGAGGTCTTACGTTTGTTTTGATAAAGCTCAAAATCATACTAAAACTGTATAGAAAAGCATACATTTTGTCCTGGTAATGTGATTTTTTTTTGCTTCAGTATTTGCTTGAATGAGTATCTAGTTTTGATCTTAGTTTTAGTGTTGATCTAGTATCAGATTTTCACTACTTTGGACAACAAAACAAAACTCAATTATTTCTCATTTCTCTCAGCACTGATCGCTTTTCACATTATCTCTGAAATTCTGACACAAAGTTCAGAGTTTGCATGCTCATTTGCACGTTATGTCATCTTTTTATAGATCACTAATGTACCATAGAAAGTCATATTTTGTTTGTACAGGGTTTATAAATGAGATCCCTGTTCATTAAGGTCATATAATTTAAAAAGCAAAACAGCAAGTGGAAGTGCAGTGTTTCCAATTAATATGAGACTATGGTGGCGCCCCATAGTCTAAAATTCTCCCCTGAAGTCTAAAAACAACCTGGACAATATTGACTTCACTAAATTACACTTTGTTTCCTATTCCACAAGCAAAAGGGTAAAAATGATTATTTTTAGATTAAAGATGGACAATGAGAAACATTAATCTCAAAGGATGAAAAAAAAAAAATCAAATTCAAATTAAAAACTATTGTGTTGGAATACTGGAAGTGTATTTGAACTGAAAAAGCATTTTGTTCATTATGGCTGAGTGGTATATACTAGTACAAAAAATACAAAAACTTCAAAAGTGTAATTTCCCAGATTTAGAGTTCAATACAAAATGGAAATAATCCTTCATTATGATCTGTTTTTATTATAATTAGTTTACACTGCTCATACAAGAACTGAAACAGACTGACAGCTTGAAAGACCATTATATTATGGAAAAGTGTAACATGGAGCAAAACTAAACAGAGGCTAGTGAAAATAAATAGCTCAGCTTAAGATGATAATTATACACATGAGTTCCAAGTGGAGCACTGCTGACCGCCCACATGTTGATGAAATATAGATGAGGAAACGCGGATGGAGCTGGAAAACGTTGGCACAACTCACATCTGCTTCAAAACAAGATCGGAAAACGAACAGACGGCTTGATGGAAAAAGGGACAGGTGGCAGGTGCTTTTGGAAATCTGAGAATTCCGAACCACCACAATGCCAAATTACCTGTCAAGAAACTTCAAACCTGATACTAGTTTTCCATTTTCCACCGAAAATGTATTGACAAAGGCAATGCAGATGGCTTGCTGAAGCGGAAAAGTGGGTAGATCTTTTCTCCCCTGACCATTGTACAATTGGACAAAGGGAAGTACTTTTACTGAAAACCTGAGACTGGAGAGCACTAAAAGATCCAGTACTGCAATGTCACAGAGAGAGGTACATGGAAGCGCTCAGTTCCCATTAACAGCATTCTCATGTATTGAATGCCCTTGATGGAGAGGCAGTGGTGACATGTTTTTAAGGCTACAACTCACAAATACTATCAAGTCAGCAAATATTTTTATTAGTCAAGTGATTTATTACAATTTTAAAACAAAATAAAATGTTCAAATTTGGTGACTGAAGGCTTCTAAATAGAGAATATAGTCTAAAAACTATTATTGGCCAGTTAGTCAACCAGTCACAATAATTCTGACAAATCATTATAATACATGTTTGTCCAAATTCTTCAGCTTTAAGAGTCCTTGCAAATATTGGGAGTATTTCAAAATGTAGTATTTTAGGGCTACATGATTTTGACACAAATCAGAGTACTACATAGATTAGATTTGCAATATACGTTTAAAAAGTAGGATTCTGAGCGTATGTAGTAAACAACTCCTGGAGGAATCTAAAATATCAATAAACCAATGCAAGAATCTAATGCATTTCACATGTTGTAAAGGTCTAGACTACAGGTGCAAGAATTTCCAATCAAAAAGCTGTTGTATAAAAACAGTACATTTTGTTCTTTGTAGAGGACAATCTATTATCTAAACTATAGCAGCCTTTGTGATTTCATTATTATGCCAACTTGAACTGAGATTTCAATTTGATTGTGATATATTGTGCATATTCCATTGCACTGACTTGATGAACGCTACTTGATTACAAACAATAACTTATATATAATGAATAAGAAGACCGACTAAATCAGTTGTTTGAAACTCAAGAAAGGAAGGAAAATAAATCCACATGATGAAAAAGGAGCAAAAGTGAAGCAGCACTGAAGACACTCTCTAAAGCAAAGCAGTGATGGATTACAACCTTACTGCATTATTTATGAACAGTTCTCCCGACCTCGAAACCTCGTGGAAATATTTCATGACATAATTTAAAAGCAATTAAAAGTGACAGTAATTTTGTTATGGCTGTCAAAATATATGGATTAGCTGTTGGAAGTTGCAGTGGTAAGTAGCGGTATTATATAAGGAACAATAGAAGTAGAGCCAGGAGCACAGCATGCTCTATTGCTATAGCAGCTTCATGCTATTATCATGGTAGACTGCTGCATAAGGTAAATACATGAACTACTGTATTTTCGCAGTTATGGAAAGAACAACACAAGCGTTCTGTTTTTAGCCTGTATTTTCACCAAATTACCACTTATAAAGAAACCATGCTGTGTAGCCCTTAACTTAGTGGCATACCAGACAGGCTTTCCATCGCAGTACGAGCACAATAACATGCTATACTCATCATGTGTCCACTACATGAATACTGCTTCACTGGACACAGCAAAAGACAAAGAAAACTGTAATATTTTGAAGATTAGGATTGCACAATGTAGGAAATTGCATTGTGATTTGGTAAAGTATAGTGATATTAATCATAAATTCCGATTTGATTTATTTTTGTATAGCCTGAAATGACAACAACAGTCACAATGTTATCAGTTATGAAAACAAAAATGTACATAAGTCACTGGTGTCAAAATAAAACTTAACAGAGACAAAACCAGCACTGAATGAATGCTATTTAACTTACGTCATTTTCATTTTAAAAACACTACATTTCTGTGATGTTATTGAGAAATATTTCATTGCGAAATCAGTTATTGCGTGATACTTTTGATACTTTTACGATGTTTTGTGCAGCTCTATTGGAGACCTAGAATAAAAATGGGAAGACAGTGCGAAGGAAAGAAGTTAAATACTGAAAAACTGATGTGTCCTCATCCTAGATCTGTGTCTCTTTTTGGCAAAATCACATTAAACATGAATGGGTGGTCTGGGATCCCTTTGTTTACACTGGTAGCACTATCCTTAACTGAAACACAAAAGCGCGTTCGTGGTAGTTAGGGTTATTCCCAAAACGTACAAAAGTCAGATGTAGACAGATGTTAAGTTGCTCTGAACAAAGCACTGTGTTGAGGAGGGATTTCCTTAGCAGTATGGCAGACTAATTAAATAAGTCTAGCAGGAAGACAAGCTCTGCAGTGTACATGTAAGTCCATATAAAGTAGCAAAACTCTTATTGTTGATTTTTTTAGATAACCATTTTACTATCTGTCCAGAGGCTACTGATGAAAAATAGCATTCTGACTAACTCTGAAGAAGTCTGTTAGAAATACTGCTTAGTGCACACTCTCCCACTTCAATAAACTAAATTAAGAAATAAACATACTTCATACTCACAGTGAAGATTAGTCTGGCTGCTTGTTATAGCTCGTACTCTTTGCAATGGGCTCCACTTTGCCCCCGCCTTAACCCCCTCAGCACCTGTCCATAGGATCTATCTCAAGTGTGAAGTGAACATCCCATCTTGCAGAGTCCAGTTTCCTTCTAACCCACGACACAATCTCTGCGCTGGACGTAAATGTCAGCTCTCCACTTTCTCTCATGTACACACTGCTTCCAATGGCACAGAGAGAGGACTACAGAATCAGCAGTAGCAGGCAGTAGCATTAGCAGATGAGAAATGCAGGACTGGAGTATTCCTCAGTAGGACAGCTTCCATGTTTCTTAGTTTTTTCCCAAGTGCATCCTGGTTTTGTTGCGTTTATGAGGACTTTTAATGATCCAGACAAAATCCAAGTAGTGTCTTTCTTTTGCGGACCACTTTCTTTTTCGACCTTAGCGTCTGCTTTGCGCCACATGCTATTCTCTCCCCCCTTTTTCTCGTCCTCTCCACTGTCTGACAGGCTGCTGCTGGTTCCACCCCTCCCCCCTCTCTCCTCCTCCACCCCACCACCCCGCAACCCCCCCACTTCTCTGGTTTGGTACGATCCCGGGACAAAGAGCAGGGATGGACAGAGTGCGGGAGAACAGAGGAAAAGGGCAGGAGGTAACAGAAAATATAATAAAGGGAGGGAGGGGGTGTAATTTAGCTGTGAAAGGGTAGTGCTCTTAGGTGGAGGTTTAGTCTGGCCGGGCAGTGGTTTATGGGACAGCAGAGCTAATGTGCAGACAAGGCTAAAATCAGAGGACAAATCCTACACAATTCATCAAATCTGACAAGAATTCAGATCAAATTTTTTTTCTACACAATCATACTTTACAGATTTAAACATAGTCCAGTAAGTTAGCGGGAAGATATGTCTGTACTGTAACCACAAGCCACAGCTGCTCTGGGGTAGGAGGCGAAAGTGAGGCTGTCCAACTGCACCATCGGTCCCTCTGACCACCACA